TTAAAAAAGCCCCAACAATCTAAAGATCCATATGAGCAACACTTGGCAATAGTAGGGAGGAAAAACTCCCTTTTAATGGGAAGAAACCTCCAGCAGAACCAGGCTCAGGGAGGGGCGCCATCAGTGATTTGTTCACTGACAATTTTTTTCCTGCACCCAATTTTTTAACCACTATAAACTAGAGATGGACCGATCCGATATTACGTATCGGTATCGGTCCGATACTGACCTAAATTACTGGATCGGATATCGGAGAAAAATAAAAAATGTAATCCGATCCATTAAATATCACGAAAGCACCTCACAAAACTTGCCACACGCCGTAACTCACCTCAGAACGTTAGCACGTCGGAGCAGTATGCATCACGTGATAGAGCGGCTGTGGCATGCGGGACCTGTCGGTGGTCTGGATAGCATTTGGAGCTTCGCTAGCAACCCGGCATTTCATCTCCGACAAAGTTATCCCCGAGAGAAGTAAAGCACGTGTGTAAGTCCATCTCTGAATGTTTGTAAAGCATTCCTGCGTTAAGCTTAACAAACGATATATGGAGCGACTGCCTCTTCTTGCTGCTACTTCAATCATGAAACTGCTTAACGATCAGCTGATCGGCTTTTCTGTCGCGAGTACGTGTCTCTAGTTTGCTTTTGGCCCACTTTGCACCAGAAAGAGGAAACCAGCAGATAAACAACAGCAGCACGTTTAAGCTTGATAAGCTGTTGTTAGAATTTATTTAATATTACTTTCTACTCGAGGATCTTTTTCTACGTAGCTGACGGCTGGTAACTGTGCAGGGGCGGATCTAGCAAAGTTTAGCCAGGGGGCCGATAGGGCATGAACAGGGAAAAGGGGGCACAAAGACATACTTTTCATTCTCATTTAAAATGTCGAGCTTTTAATAAATAATTATCTGACACCCAAAGTTTTAATTTGATGCAAAATGAATAGAAGTCAATTACTGTACATAGTGACTATTAAGTCTAATATATATACCCTAGTAAGCTATAGTACTTTTTCCTTTGGGAAGGTACCATCTGTGCAGTCTGCAATTTTGTTGAAGAAAGATGTTGAATCTATTTAATATTTCTTGAAAAATAATTGATTTCTGTGCATTTTTTTTCCACACTGCATCAAATTAAGGTTGGTTACGTCGATTAAGCATCATGAGGTGGAGCGTGAGGGGTGGTTCCCTATTTTTATTTATTTATTTTTGTTGTTGCTGGGAGTTGGAACCCTATTAGTTAGGTTGCTTAATATTTACGCTAAGTACTCTTTAAAATACCAGAATAGGGAGGATGGTGTAGGTTTAAGTTTATTAGATTGATCAGTATTGCTGAACTATGAAATGGTTTTTTTGCATACAGGTATAACAGAATAGCTTTAGTGTAGTTGTTGTTTTAAACTTGAGTATGAACTTATACAAAATGCAGCAAGATATTTAAAAAACAGTTTTGTTGATTAAAAAACACTATATCGGATTCATATCGGTATCGGCAGATATCCAAATTTATGATATCGGTATCGGACATAAAAAAGTGGTATCGTGCCATCTCTACTATAAACATGTAGTTGTATATAAATATGATTTTTAAGACACAATGTTGAAACGAGTTAGGTGAAAAGCCAAAGCAGCCACTTTTGCTTCTTCTTTTTTTATTTAGTTTCAGTTTCGAGTTCAGATAGCTTGATAGTATAAATTTGCTGTCTGTCTTTCTTTGCAAAGAGTCATGTAGAGACAGTCGGTGGCAATAAGTCCTTTTTCTTCCTTGTCTTGTTCTTCTGTGTCTTTTTCTTTCAGAGGCTCCCGCAGAGAGTTTGTGGTCTCATAAGCTCTCCTGTGATATTTAGAGCTTGAGCTAGCCTCATAAATTAGTCAGTGGCTTAATCTGATACAAATCATGTTTTCTGTTTGTGTGATTAACACAGTCCCTGAAAGAAATAAACAATAAAGATGCAGTATCATGAGAGAAAATCTTGAGAGAAAAAAAGATGGGGAAAAGCTGCACGCATAGCCTTCTGGATAAACCCTCAACTACAGAGTGTTGTAATAAACATAATGACATAGGTAAAATGAACGTTGGATGAGAGACTGTCAGAATAAAACAGGAAACATACTGAGATGCAGACTAAAACACACAGGCTTGACACTGGAACTGGGGGAAGTACAGACATGCATGCACATAACAGGCAGGGAAGACATGGAATGAAACACAAGGAGGGGAACATGGGAACAGGAAAGGGAGACGAGCCACAGAGGGAGACACGGACATAACACAGGAAACATATACAAAGGACTGACAGGCTCTCACAGGAGATACAAGAGGAACCTAATGCAAGAAACCATAAACAAGGCTGACTGTAAAACTTTAACTGAACCCATCCTTAAAATGGAAAAAGTGACAAAAACCCTGATGCATAGCACAGTTTGTCCAGCCAACATTTAAGAAGGCTGTCCAGCATACAGTGACATGGTATTGCAGACACCCGTGAAACTTTCTTTTTAGAATAATTTTTTCAACCAAGATTAGATAATGAGAAAGAAGATCAGCTGATGAACATTCAGCAATCATTTAAATGGTGAATGTTAGCTGGCACCACAAAAGTCCTAATTTATTGCATTTAAATGAACACTCCTTCAGGTGTTGTTGAAACAGCTATGTTAGCATTTGGCGCATACACAGTAAAAAGAAATCGATTGAAAATATATGCAAATCTGGTAATAATTTCACCATTATTAATATATATTAATGAGAAGAAGAAAAGAAAAGATGGAACGTTGCCATTCTTGCATAATAATATCAGCCATCTCCATCTTTTTTCAAACATAAAGGAGACTGCTAATTACCGCTTGTTAATATGTGAACCATTTGCACTTGTGAAAATTACAGGTTTATAAAAATAAACCTGTAAATTTTATACATGATTTTAATGTCATATTTATGATTCTTTACGAGCATCTACAGACAAATTCCCCGAGGTAATTCTTTTCCATGCAGTGGCAAAACAACATAGCCCTGTGATAGACCACTGAGCCTGTCTCTTCCCCTACATCAGCTAGGATGCAGGCTCACATGGATCATTGGACAAGTTATGGATTACTTATAAAAACAAATTAGTTACAATATTAGAAACAGGTCATTTAAAGCCTGTGCACACAGATTATATTGCTGTATTTTTAAAGGGATTATATACAAACAGTGTTTGGCAGAACCTGTACTTAAAAATCTGAGGTTTCGCATTGTAATTATGACACATGGAAGTCAGTTTGCATGCTACTGCCATGCTGGAAACTTGGGAGTATGATATTTTGAACATCATATTGCATTGATAAAGCTTTACATGGCCTCTATCATGGCTAATAATTCATTTTCTTTTTTTCCTGATTGCACTTATTAAGTGTAAACTTTTTTGTTTCAGGGGAGGAATGTTTCTACTGAGCTCTCCCTGGATTCAAACCAACCTGAGCTCCGAAAAAGCAACAGTCACGGTCAAAAGTATTACCAGGACGCAGCAGCTGTATTTCACCACAGCTTAGCATGAAGCTATGCGTGTCCAGTTGAAGAGGCAGAGCAAAGCCATGTGTGCTTGAGCGACCACAGAGTATCAAAGCACAACTGCACAAAAACGACTGGTGTGTTCTGGAGCAGCACTGAAAGGAGTTTGCCACCTGAGGTCTCCTCTGAGATAAGGGATGTCACATGACTTAGCTGCAGGAAGAGATGGTACAGCAAGCAATAAAGAGCCTTGTGAGCGACATCAACACCAGCCAACCATCCAATCAGAACTGAATGGGGCCCTTTTGTTTTGATGCAAGCTGGCTGTCGGGGAAAGAGCTGCACAGGGAAATAAAAGAAGTCCTTGTTTCAAGAGAGTCAGCACCGACTGTTAGACAGCACTGATGGGATCTGAGCCCTCCCCCTTTTTGTACTGTACAACAGTGAACCCAGTACTAATTAGGAGCCCTGCTACTTTTGAACATACATTTGCGCACACTGAGCTGTCACACTGCTCACAGACACACATGCACACAAAAACATGGAGCAGTGGCTTATTAACAGCAGCGTCCTCTCTCGCATTCATTTACTACAAGCTTAACATGCTGTAACAGCGCTGACATGCACTCATATTTAAAAGAGGATCCAGTATTGCTGTTAGCCTGTCAAACTCAAAGACTTCCTCATAAGCTAATTAAGACTGCGCTGGGTGAAGGTTTCTTAGCAGTTATTTATTGTTTCAGAGTAATTTGTAGCATTGGTATGTTAGTTGTGAACAGTACGTGTGAGAGTCGATGGAATGTAAAGCCATTACTCTGAAAATCAGAAGTGCATTCTTTCAAATAGCTGTGTTATACATTCTAATTATTCTCACCGTGGATGGAAGGCTTGCGAGTAATGAGTTCATACTCCACTGACTTGCAGCAACACCACTTAAGAATGCAAATGTTCTGTATGACTTTGTATCGTTTTAAGAGTTCCGTCAGTTCTCAGTGTTAATTTGCAGACATTTGAAACATTGAACTTTGACTTGACTTGATTAGGGTCTGATGCTACTGCTATGTTGCTTGTGTTTCATTTGACAGCTGCTCAAACTACTGCCTCATGAAGCTGATTTTTGCTTTACAGACCTAAGATTGCAGTAACTGCTACTTGATACATACTCAAGTATATTCACATAGGCAATACAGATTTAACAATCTGACACACCGGCCACAGCCAGACTCCCTAAAATTGTTACTCTAAGACTGTAAATTCACAGAACGTGATCATTGCTTAATAATTCTGCTGTATGTGTAAAGATTTATTGTAAATAAGGGTACTGTATGTACATAGGTTTAAACTGCTCCCATACAATCGTGACTCTGTCTTTGATTTAAAGAGTCATGTCTCTCTCTCTCTCTATATATCTATATATATATCTATAGATATATATGTGTGTGTGTGTGTGTGTGTGTGTGTGTGTGTGTGTGTGTGTGTGTGTGTGTGTGTGCATATATGTATATGCCCATTTCACCAGAGTTCTAAATTCGCTTTTCATGGATTTAGACACAGAGATTTCAAAATGTGAGGCAACTGCACATAAATCATATTTCCTTCGTACATCAAGCTGTTATAAAGTAGGATTAGCTATAAAATCTACCAGACTAAACTGTGCCATATTCAAAATGAATCCCGAATGAGCCCCCAATATATATGTAGGTGAAATTTATTGGATTTGACAGAATTTATTGTTTCCCTGTATTTCAATTCCTCCTGATATGATAAACACCTAGTAATACAAAAGAAATGCAAATTTTACATCCATACACACATAAACACAAACATTGGAATTGTGACGTGATGTTGGTCACTGGATGTCAGCAGCCATGCCAAGATCAGCCTGATCCTCAAAGTGGACCTTGAAGTCTCCCTCTTGTTCCTCAAACACAATGACCTAATTTATTTGAGTGTGAAAAAAAAAACACAGACAAGTGTTAGAGATTTGTTTGGTTTTTGCAATTATAGTACAAAAATACATTAAGAGTACAGCAGTTTACAAAGCTAGAGCCAGCAGATATTTAGTATAAAGAGTGTGAAGAGGACGAAACGGCTAACCTGAGTCGCCCAGAAGGTAACAAAATCATCTTACAAGCAAATATGAATGAAACATACAACAAACAACATGTAAATTAGCTATGGTGATCCTAGGCTGGGCTAAGCTATTGGAAGCCTTGGAAAACCTAAACACATTAATATCGTCAGTCTTCTCGTCTAACACTAGATAAGAGAGAGCAAGTAAGCAGTGTTAATTTTGTAGACCAATAATTTTCATCATATTTTTAGTCAACAACCTTTTTTCTGACAAAAACAAGACAATAACTACATAAAAGCTAAAGTCACAGGGACAAAAACTATGATGATGTCTATTGACTCTTTCATCAATGATTAAAACGGGATGAAGATATTATAGAGAGAGAGAGAAATCCAATCAGAACTAATTTAGTTGTGTAGAAAGATGGGACGAGTGGGAGTGATCCAATCAGAAGTATGTCCTTGTGCCATCACTTTAGATGCAAACATATGGAAACGGAGAAAATAAGACACATTGTAACCTGTGTGGCACAACTTTCACTATTACAACACTTTAACAACTATTACACTTCATGTTTTAGTCAAACTACAATTTTTACTCTGAGTATTGCTATCAGTCTCAAGTAGTTATGACCAGATGGCTACACAGCCAGATCCATCCCTGGGTGACATCATGGTGGCTGCAACCATCTTTTACATAAGTCTATATTCTGTCTTATACTTTTTTAAGAAATTCTTTGTCATCTATTTCCTATTCTAGCAAACCTTTAAACCAATCATCTTTCTGCCTCCACATAGCATCATCGCCAATGATCGATGAAGCTATGTGGAGGTTTTTTGGAGGACTGCATGCAAGCACGTCTGCTTTGGCTGTGTAGTTAAAGACCTACAAGAAAGGACACAAGCGCTGTACCATTTTGTATTTATGAGAATAAAAAATATTCTAGAACAGAATATTAGCCTAAAAAATTGTGTTGCTCTACTTTTTTATTTAAATTACTTTCAGTTCTTCTGCTGTAATTCTTATATGAAATGATAATCGCTTGCATCCAGGGAAACAATCATACAAAGCCACTATTGCAAAAGCTAACTTAGTATATAAGCAAAAAAAGAAAAGAAATGAAGCAAAACAAAACACAAAGGCTGAAACAGTTTAACAGTAAATCAGGTCACGGTTGTCAGATACAGAAACAAAAGCAATAATTAAAATTCTTAATTAAACTAAGGAGAAAAAAATGTGAAACACATTTACATATTTGAACTTTTGGGATCAACAACTCATTAGAACCAACATTACAAACGCCAACAACAGCTGTTTACAATCATACTGTGACAGCAGATATCAAACTACAAGCTGGTTTTATTAAAATTAGCTGTTCTCCGACCTGAAGGATGCATCCACGGACTCTGGATGTAGCTGTAAGCGGCGCTCACACAGACTAACAAAGTGCTACAATCATCATAATTCATCATTTGCTTCTGAACAGTTATACCTGATTGATTCCACTATTGAGAAAAGGACCTGGGAGGTAGAGAGTCTGCTGGGGGCCAATGGACCAGTAGCGCCCAAGGTTCAACCCATTGATAAACACAACACCTTTCTCCCAGCCCTGCGGATCCCAGACACATACATTTATTAAAACAAATTTAAAAAATAAGTATAAACACACCTGGCTTCTTTATGTATGTTTTTAACATATTTAGATGAGGAAACATTTGACTATTTTAAAAATGCCGCAGACAAAAGATGTTTTATAGTACTTGAAGGACAGCACAAATGGTAATTCTTCAGTGGTTCATTGAATAAGATTACCAACAGATCTCAGATACTTCTGTTTAAAATGAAATAAATTACACCCACAGTATCAGAAGCTCATTTTGCCCCCATTGGCACTCCTTGTAGGAGTTTTGTGTAAGTCCACCAGTACCTGCTTTCTAAACTCTCTTCCCTGTAAAATGATTCTCCTTGGTTTAAATGCCCATTCAACATTTCAGTGACACTGAAGATTTTATTATTTTCAACCAAGTCATTGCATGACCTTCCATTTCTTCTTTCTGAGCCATTCTTTCACGAATGTGCTTCAGATCATTATCCTTTCAAAAAGGTCCACTTTCAGCTCACTTTTCAGATAAACGGATTCACATTACTGTATATTCAGGCGATGCTGAAGAATGCAAAGCTGAATCAATGCCTGCAAGCTACCCAGCGGTGAACTGGCAGTAATTTGATTTTCTTTACAGTTAATTTTGTTATTTCAAATAATTTGAAGAGCTTTTTATACCCTCTTCCAGACTGAAGACTCACAGGCAGACACTTCAACAGGATAGAGCACAAAAGATCCTAATGACAGACATTTAAAAGTCAGTTTCCACCTGCTACTCCACAAGGAGGTTTCAGTCATCGGAATTCCTTCTTCTAATTTATTGGATTTCAAGGTGTAACAATGTGATTAGTCTTTTCCGTTCATTTAAATGTCATTTACTTATTTTGTAACATAGCTGTTTACTTACTGGCAGCTTCACAAACGTGTCACTTGGATACCCATATGCAAACAGTCTGCCCATGAAAAATCCAGGGAAGCTGGGTGTTTCAGAAAGACTTTTCCAGGGTGCTTGATAAAGACTGAAATAAGGCCACATCAAACACACTATTACAGACAAAAGCAAGTAATATGCAGCGTATTAGATTTAATAAAGTCTACAAACCTATCAAGGAAGCTGGGTTTCATATCCAGGCTGTATATTGTAAAATCTCTCAAGGGGATATTGTTTAATAAAATGTCTCCCACTAGTCCTGCAAAAACACAAATCGAAATTGGCTTGCCCTCTACAAACTGATTGCTTGAGTGATTTAAAAGCAGGCAGAGCGATGAACAGCAAAAATTTCAGTCAGTCACCTTTACGTTGCTTGTCAAGCTCCCTTCCCTGGTGAACTCGTCCACAGTTCTCCACCAATAAACTCAAGGTACGACGTCCCTGTAGGGATCAATCACATTTATGTTTTTTGATCGTTTTAACAGCCAGACAGCTGCCTCGCCAGCATCCATCACACTGAATGAAGCCTTTCTCTTCACTGTTCAACTTGATATCATACCTTACCATCAGGAACCGCCAGCTCCAGACTCTGGTGCTTGAAAAGGCCAATGTAGCTTCTGTCTACAAACACCTGGAGTAAAAAACATTAGTGTCAAATAACTGTAGTAATTTAGTTTAAACTGTGTCCTGCTGGAAGGCACCAGAGCAACGCTCCACCCCTTTTTCTTTGAAGAATGAAATATCCACTTAAGCCGAAGTTTAATTGGTTGGTCCTCACTCTAAGAGCATTTCATGCAATAAAACTGGTAAAGACAGCATGAGTGGTCAAACCTGTCAGTTTAATATCTCAAACCAGATCTACTAATATCTGGGCCAGTGCTAAACCCTCTTTTAGGGCTTACCAAAAAGGCCGAGTGTCAGTGCTGTAGGGCAAATTAGCATGATGATGCATTTACAAAAGTGTGTCCATGGAAGTGGAAAGATCATGTGGTGATGCAAACAGTGAGCTATCTTTATATCCAAAGATGCAGTCAGCTTATTTTAGTAATTTCCTGACAAGAGATGTACGAATTAGTGTCTAAAAATAAAGGCCTTTGATGAGGGAGTGCAAAAGAAGCGAATGAGGGTCTGACAAAAATAATACAATTTAAGCTAATGCTGTACACATGGTTCTTTATGAAAACAGTGTGACTATGTAGAGAAATGAAAAGAAGAGGAAGAAGAATCAGGATGATTTTCTTTGGGGGGAACTCATCTGTGAAAGTGCTAAAACTGTGTGAGTTTGAGGACTAAGCCTCAGGTGGACCTCAGGATTTATCCAGAGGAGAGCGGCGTTATGATAAACCATAACCCTGAATTAACCTGAAACCATGGGACCTGCATGATGTGCAGAAGAACACTAAACATTATTTACCAGAGAGATGTTTAGATCTCTATGTATGTGACTAAAAACACTGTTCAGTTCACTTCTGTTTGGTTTCAATTAAATAATAGACTGAAAGGGAGTCTGCAAGCATGCAGGTCGAGGACAGGGCCAAGGTTTTAGCAGTGTGCTCAGCTTTGACTGATCCAATTAATGCTTACTTTAATAAATATCTAGCATTATATGTTATATATATATAAACAATGGTAATTTGCACAACTGCAATATCCAGACAGGTCAGGAACTATAATGGAATTACAAGATTTTGTAATCCTTTTTTTATTTGTGGAAAAAACAATGAACTGTCTGAAGATTTTCTGCACACCGTAGGAGCACAAATCTCAGATTTACACAGTGGAATAGTTTGTCATAAAGCAGTCCTCCTCTGGCTCAATCCTGCGCTGCACCTGAGCTGTCAGATATAGCTGTGGCTGACATTAACTTTGAGAAAATTGGTAGAATTTAAAATTCACCAGAGAATATGTGAGGGAGAGAAGCCCATCAAGTGTAGAGACAGAGCGGGCAACTATCCCGCAGGAACAAATGAAAGTGAGAGAGGAAAAAGCTGGAAACGACATCCACGAGCAGAGAGCTGTAAACAATACATAAGAACTTGTGAAGATGGTCAAACAGATGAGTTTAGGTTTATAACTTCAGTGTGACATTTGATCACATTTGTTCAGTTGTTGAATAACGTAAGCAGTTCTGACATCGAACTGAAGTAAGCTGTTGGTAAACAATTCACAACTGAAATATGTGCCTTTAATGGAACTACAAGATTTTGTAATCTTGAGTAACAGTGAGCGAACTGGACAGAGTCACTGTTTCCCAGTGTTTTTGCTCTGCTAAGACCTCAGTCAGGGCTAAAGTGGCAAACTCTAGAGGAAAGTGTATAAAATGTATATTCCCCAACATGTGCTAGCTGACCACTCAGACGTAGTGTTTGCAGACAAGTCGGCATCTCAGTACAAACTACAGGTGGCCCTGGCAACAGTGACCAAAGCAATCACAGCACTCAGATAACTGGTTACCATGAAGTCACTGATTGTCTTTTTCAGGAATGAATAGCTTATACTTAACAGCTTAACAACTCACAGCCGGCTGCGAAATATTAATTTTCTTATAATGACCAGCAGTTGCCGCGTGGTTGTTAACTTGTCTGTTGGCCTGTGTGACTGATGTAAACTAGGTTAACTGTCCTCTGGCTCCTGCTTATATTTGATCGTTCAAATTTTCAGCAAGAAGGAATCATTTTGTTCTTGCAGGGTTTTTTCTTATTATTTATTTATTTGCTGTTCATTTTATGAACAATATCAAAAATGTTTAATGAATGAGCTATTAGGAGGATATTTTTAACCCTTGGACAGAGTCTGGTTAGCTGTTTTCCCATATTTGCAGTTTTTCTATGCTGACTATCTTATGCCACTAGGTTTAAGATAAGATAACCTTTATTAGTCCCACACGTGGAAAATTTGTTTTGTCACAGCAGGAAGTGGACAGTGCAAAAGTTATGACGCAAAAATTAGAATACAATAAGAATAAATACAGTACACAACTGTACAGAATAGAATAAAATAATATACTATATACAGTAGAATAAAATAGAATAAAAATATACAATAAGATAAAAATAGAATACGAATGCTATATACAACTGAGTAAAAATACAACGATGCCAGAAAAGATTATTGCACTTAGTGTTATTGCACATGTGTGGATGTGTGTGTTTGTTCAGTTAAAGTTCAGTTCATATTTAACAGACATGTATCTTTTAGCAGTAAGACATGACTTCCTTGTTTTTAATAAATTTGTTTTCAGCAGCTACAAACACATTATGGAAGCTAAGCAATTAGCTTATGGATAAATATCATGCACATGTATAGTGTGCATTAACTCACCAGGGCACGGTCTCTGACATTGTCCCCTGACTGTAACAGCCCTCCCCTCGTGATGATAGTCTCATACAGAGTGTAGCCATAGGACTGTCCATTTCTGTTGTTCACGGGTAGATTTTCCATGTTTACTGGTTTGGTGGACTTAAATGGCTGCAGAGACAATTGAAACAGTTGAACTGTCTGAAAAGCAAAATTCTTTACATTGCAGGATACGTACGTCACAGATAATCTCACATAAACGTACTCCTTCTGTGAAGCTTAAAGCATCCCATAATGAAAGGTGCTGGTACATAATGGCTGGTTCATAAGCCTCCCTGTAATGCAGGACTGGCATGTCCGGGAGACTGTCAGAGCCTCCTGCTGCAGAGAGAGGCAAAGAGGTCAGTAACTGAATAAAATAATGTGCTGCATATCTCGTGTTTTTCTTACTGTTTTTGTATCGGGAAAGTAAATCCCTGAGAAGATGGTACTTTGAAGTGTATTCCCCAGATTCAGACAGAGGAGCGTCATAATCTGCGGAACATCAACAGTGTGCGAAAACTGTCATTTGCTGCCACCTGCTGGGTGTTAAGGTCAACAGTACAGAACACGACATTTTCCAGCTCTCATACGGCAGTTATTAATCACTCAAACGTCTTTGTGAATTTGCATGAGAGTCTATTTGAGACTGAGCACAGTACAAAGGAACCAACCATAGCTGGGGACTAAAGCTCTGTATGAGGGATTGGCGAGTGCTCCGCTCATGAAGCCAAAACTGGATCCTCCGTGGAACATGTACAAGTTGACAGACATGCCTCTCCTCAGAATTTCCCTTACAGTGGATACCATATCTGACAAGAAATGAGACATGTTCACAGTGTTTAGAAAAATGGATTCATGCAAATACAAATTTTGAATCCCGAAACTCTTCTGACTCATTTTCTTAAATGCTTTAAGTGACTCATTCAAAAGCAGCATGACCCTGACATTTGCATGTCCACTGTGGGCATGTAGCTGCCATTTCTCATGCAAAAATCTACACTGGGGTGAGAAAGAAAGCACATTTACAGCAGTTTAGAGGAACTGGAGATAGAGTAGCACTAGTGAAACAGACAATAACGCTACCCTTTGATTGGTTTTACTCATATATGCATTTCTTTCAAGGGTTAGTAAAGTATTCGTAAAGTAAGAGTATAGATTTCTGTATCCAAATTTCTTTTCACAAGCAGGTTTTCCATGTTTACTGGTTTGGTTGATGTAAACGACTGTTTTTAAAACAAATTTGCTTTAAAGCAGTAATTATAAGACAAAAACCCAACAGATTTCAATTTCCAAATTTGGTTTCTGAAGCAGGAGATTTAGACCGATTTGTATTTCACTGCACAAGCTGCACACAAATGTATAAAAACGAATGAAAGACTAATAAAATAACTACAGGCAATGATTTCCACAATATTTTTCTTTTCATTTTATAAAATATAAGAAGAATTCAATTTGCACAAGACACTTTATGCCTGTTTTTTGCTAATGTAACATCACTATGTAGCATTGGCTTTCAGAGATACTAAGAGAAGGATGTGTACGCTTCTTTTACCACCTCGCTGAATTATGAAGACTCCCTTGAGCGACACTCCATTGTTAGACCACCCAGGTTGATTATGAATAGCAGGGGAGCAACATGCCACTAGCAGCACAGAGAACCCTCCTTACCCTCTGGGGGCAGCACATGGTGGAGCTCTCCCCAGATATCATACCAGCCGGTCCAGTAATCCATCACCATGGTGGGGTTGTTGGGCTGAAAAGCAGCACGCACACAGTCAGCTTGCATCTCCTTACTGTCATCAGTGATGGATACAAGTGATGTGGAAAGGTGAGACTCACCTGGATAGCAGTCAGCTCCTGGATGTTTCTCTGATTTAGCTTCTGAAGCTTCACTGTCCTGAGGGCTACACGAGATTAGGTTAACTCTGTGTGTGCATGTTTATGTTTAGGTGTGTGATTATTAATATACCTCCATCCACACCCCCAGACTTTAACGTTTTGTGCTTGTCTGATGTGAGCAGCAGTTCGCTGATCCCTCTGGATTGCAGAGCCTTTCAAAATAAAACACAAAGGAAGAAGTGAAAATAATCCTATTGATCCGTTCTATCCCATCAAGTTTCATGTGTAGTCACCTCTTTAATGAAAAGCATGTAACTCTGATCCTTTGCAAAGGAGCCATACTCGTTTTCCACTTGCACGGCAATGATTGGACCTCCTTTCTTGAACTAGAAAAACACAAACAAGCATTTTTTTTTTTTAATTAAAAAGATTAACAGACTCTGCTTCAGCTGGTATGTTTCCAGCCTGACCTGCAATGGAACCAGTTTTGGTATCAGCTTGTCAAAAAAAGTGTTGACAGCCTGAATGAACCCTGGGTGCGTCGTCCGCAGTCTCATGCTGCTGTCTTGGAGGAGCCAGCTGCAAAGACATAGAAAACATGCTCAGTTAACACTTAACAACAGAGCCACAGTGAGTCTAAAATACTGGACAAAGCTTGAGACACTGAGCAAGCCTTTACTTTAAACAAGATGCGACTCTTCCACCCTGATTTCATTCAGAAAGCAAAAATGGCACTTTGTGCGTTAGATCAAGTAACTCTTGTGCTGTCCGGTTAAATTCACTTAAATACAAATCTATTTACTCAGGACAGGCACTGAACAGACTTGCAATTTAAACTAACGTCCCTTTTCATACCATATGAATATACACACAAAAAAATTCTGAATTTCTACATAAACCTACATACAGAGAACACCGTGACTACCTCGGCAGTCCTCCTAGGTCCAGCTCAGAGGAAATGTAGGGTCCTGGACGCAAAATCACCCACAGTTCCATCTCGGCTGCAAGACTGATATAGGCTCTGAAATCCAAACAGAAAAGAAAATCAACAAGCAACTTTTTCCTGTGCAAACCCAAAGTTTAGACTCACAGTGAGGCTCCATTTCTTATTGTTTGGTGAGTGTGAAAAGTGCCTGGCAACAACACTGGCAGAGGCAGGACCTCTCTCTTCGCTTATCATCGCTGTGCAGTTAATTGCTCGATAAGCTGCTTTTGTTATGGAGATGCTGCTGTTGTCAGGTGGGACTCTCTGCCTCTAGCATCTCCCCTGAGCACTGAGGACTTAGATGATGAGGAGAAAATGAAGAATATATCCAAAATACCTTAGAGCAGGTAATATTGTTAGAGAAGCTAGGAAGGTGGTGTGAAGGATGCTGTGTGGTGATTAATCATATAAGAACATTCTCCTTACTGTAAATCCAGCTGTGTCTGGAAGCTAAAAACCTCTCTTTCCGGCTGGTGCAGATTCCACGGCACATATCTGCAAGGATGGAGGGCGCCCACAGTTAACATTCAGCAGTGACAGTGCTTGTGATTCTAAACTCAATCACTGGAGCAGTGTTCGTACGTAGTGAGGGTATTAATCCCACAGGCTTTCATCTTCATCAGGCGGTCCCTCCAGTAGGCCCTGGGCACACGGAAATAGTGGATGGATCCCCCAATGATGCGGAAGGGCTCTCCCTCGAGGGTGAACTGGGACGTGTTGGCACACAAGCCGACCTTTCGGCTCATCCTCCTCCCCCTTCCCGACATGCTGGAAGAGGAGTTCCACTCAGTGTGTCACAGTCACTTAATGCCTAACACAGGCTATTGTACTCTAACTGACCACATGACATGCTTGGCAGGAATTTGCAGATGTCTTGAGTTGAGCAGGAGGACATCAGACTTCAGTAAACTCATAAGAGCTTCTTTTACATTTTCTTCATCATCCATTAGTTTCTTATTATTCACTTCCCAAAATAAATAAAGTTTCTTATGACAACCGTCAAACTGTGTGTAATACAATGACACTGTTGTACTGTTATAGAAGCCACACAAACAATATTACTATTGAGACTGTTTGAATTGTGTGTCTGTGAAAACTACATCAAGCTGAATCGTTGCATTGAGGGGAAAACAACAGCCTCTTACTGGAACATACGTAACATTTTAAGAACTTACCCAAGATATCTGTACATGATGAATCCAGCAATGCACAGGCAGATGAGTGCATATTTCCTTTTGTGCACATTTCTTATCCTGAGGACAACCATGGATGGAGAGCGAGATCCCTTCTGGCAACATAAGCAACAGTCGAGTTAAGTTCACAGCAGCATCTGTGTGCAGATGAACGCATGATGCTGGTCTGAACAGTGCACCGCCTCGTGGGAGTGCCTCTGCGCAGAGCCATGGAGATCTAACTCACCTCATTAGCAGCAGGGTTTGTCTTCGGTATTGTTTGGCTTGTAAGAACTACTACACAGCTTCCTTTTTCTTTTCTTCTTTTTTTAGAGCTTTACCAGAAAAAACAACAAACAAAATGAAAACATTTAATCCTGAAAAAGTTTCTTCCATCTTAAAAATAGTGTCTAGTAATCTAAAATATAAAAATAACGAGAAATGCGGCAAGTTATATCATATCTCCAAAGTGTTCATTATTTTATCTTCTTTTGAAACTTGTCTAGATGTGTGGAGCTAATTGCATATTGCTGCCCTTCATTCGTCATTCATAACTCATTCTATGGAGTTGGTCCTTATTTCTACATGTGCTGGGGACCATAACAACCCCACAGTGGTGCCCAGTTCATGTTCTTCACTTGACACATGTTGAAATAGGGTATTTTGCTTTGTTTGCCTCTACTATCCCTACCTTTAAGTGCCATTAGTAGTCCAATAGACTCTACACAGGCCTGTACATTTCTTAACCTCTCCCAGCCACTCACGATCCACCCAGGTTCCCACAAGCTCTGTACCACCACAACACTCATATATGACTTAGCTAGTGGCCAGCAAGCAGCAACTCTTGTAAGTGGGAAATGGCTCTTCGATCCCTTATCTTATGACCCCTGTAAATACTTTCCTGATGCGTTTTTTCAACTTTAGTTGCTACTGCTCTGGTTTCAAGACAGAAAAGATGATTATTTGTGCTCCTCAGCAAAGGAAGACAAACCAGGGTTAGCTGTTAGAGCCACTAGCTACAGCTAATTGTTTCTATTGGTTTCATAGTCGGAATAGCCCTGCACACGTAACTTTGTGGTGGTTAGTGGTCGTGTCGATTTTCAATATGCAGCTGTAGAAGCTGTTAGAGTCACGTGTGTAAACCTGCCCTCCTTTTCTTTTTGGTGTGCTCTTTCTCTTCCACTGTGAAAACACACTCACTCATAAAATTTCTCAAACTCTTAATGAGTTTTATTTAGGAAGGTTCCTAAATAATTGTCATGACCTGGAATTATCTGCATGGCCACAAGAGCTGGTGGAATTCTCTAAAAACTAAGGAATGCTGCTTCATTGCTTTCTTTCTTTCCCTTCTTTAGGAAAGTATGCAGTGGATTAATTTATAAAAGAAGATGATGTCTGGCCACAGTTCATATGTTATACACGGACCCACCATCATTACAAAGGTGGAGCAGCTAGACAACACTGCATTTTCAGTTTTAAGCAATATGCTGTTTATGTCTCTGTGATAGAAATGGCTCCTTATCAAGTTATTATAATAAAACTCCCATATTTACATTCCAAATTTATATAAAGTTCTTGGGCGCTTTATTAAAATAATCAAATCGAATTTAAGATTGATCATAACACATTTTGCATTAGTTATGTTTGTTGTTGTAGTATTTTTAAATAATTGACTGTAGGCCTCTTCTTTAGCTTTATATTCGTCCTTGAAGTTGTCAGTGCTTCAAAAAAAGACACTTTGCAGGTATTTAAGGAGCTTTAGGTCAGCGTTTCAAACGCAGCTTGCTCTTTCTCTGCCCCACTGCAGCTTCTCCATTTCAATTACAAGCTCATATGTGCTGCAGCTTTTAGTCTTTTACCTCCACCCCTAACCTCAACCTTTCTTTATCTGCTCCTCAGTCAGTTCCCAGGCTTTCACACATTTTCTCTGCATGAGGTCTCTCCAAGGCGTCCTCACTTCAAACACACACGTGAATTTGAATATGCTAACTTTCATTGTTATACAGCCCGAGGCCCAGCTGTGCTGCATTTTTCTAACACCACGTACTTTGCGTGTGAGATTTAAAAATTCCATTTATCTTGTCATGCTAATCGTTGCTTTATTCACTACCTGCTGCAGTTGCATGTGGATATGTTCTAAATTTATTTCCTTTTATTCCATCGTGAGCCGATAGCAACACAGCAAAACTTAATTCTGCAACCTTATAACAAAGCTAACAAAGCTATCTAGCTTCTCTCACAATCATATAACATCAGAGATATAGAAAATAAAATATCGCTGTCGTCTTAATAACTTATTATAAATACGTAATGAATGCTCGACACATGCGTCATAAAGTGGACACACCCCTTAGCATTTTAATGAGCTTTTACTCCACTTTCTGTCTTCGCCTTCCAGTACTGAGGACTACGCTTCCCATGCTCCTTCGAGGTTGGAGCTTGCGCAATTTGTTTTCCACGGCCCTAGCTGCTGGCAGTGGCTGTATGCTGTTTGTTGTGTTTACATTAAGGAAGAGAAAGAAAGAATTTCCCAAGCTATTGTAACACCGTGGCTGTCGCATGAGGTAAGCACCAGACCTTTGTTAAATGTGTGCTCTATCTGTCTGTTAATCATTTGTATGGACGTTATCAGGAAGAAAAAGTCTACAGTTAAATTAGTTGTTGAGCGATAATTTAGCTAGCATCACAAACAGACAAGCTAGTTGAACACTAAAGAAGCGAAAGTCATCGATTACAGGGCCATAGTCAACATGCTGAACTCTGTATATGAGATTATGCCAGTTTTAGAGGATTTTTAAGCAGACCACAATGAGCCAGTTAGCCTGAGTGTGTGTTATCATCTTTTTTGCGCTAACCCACTGAGTCAGCTTGCTAGCGTTGAATAAAACAGTATCGCAAAGAGACAATAGGTGGACAAACGTTTGCATCTTAAGACAAAGGAGAGGACATCGCTGGTGTATAATGTCACCATGCAACAAATAAGACGATAGCAGCGTTTATGAAACGCACATAAGCTTTGCTTCTCTTAGCAAGGCATTAGATGCTGATAGATTTTGTCCAGAAGTTATTAAGTTGTGATCTATATGAAACTCGTTAGGTATTCTGTAAGAGCACGTGTTTAGTGTGCGGACAAGTATTTTTAGAAAGATATATATCTATATCTATATAGATATAGATATCTATATGTCAAATGTTGCTGATAATGGTTTTTAAAATAAAGACTTACATCATCATCAGCTTGTGAAACACTAAAAACGGTGACCAAATATCAAAACTCTGAGAGAATTTGCCAAACATTGTATTGTTGAACTTTCTTAGTATTAGAAGGCTTTTTCTGATGTATGTAAAACACAAACTAATGGAGGTTTATTTTTATGGATGTGCATGGAAAACTACCAGGTTTAGAAAGGCTACTGTTTGTAAAAGCCAAATGATAAGCTTGTTATACAGGTAGCTGATTCATTGAAGAGGTAAAAACATTAAATATTATGTGACAGTTGAGTTAACAAAAATCACAAGAAAATAGGTCTTCAAGCAGTTGTGTGTCTTAGCAAAGCAAGTAGCAAGAGCTGTTAGCATCTGCATTTCAAAGGTTGAAGGTTTTCCATTCAGCCCCTCACTTTGTTTCCTTGGGTTTTGGTTTGTTGCAGGTTACTGGGTGAGCCCCTCCCTGCCATGAGAGCGGACCACCAGGTCACCAGCCCCCCCTCCTTCTGCAGTTGATGGATCTGCAGCTGGTGCAGAGATGACAGACAGCGTCAGGGCTTTCCTCCGCGATGTTGCGACGGTTAGCAAACACAAAGACACTGCACTCATAAATAATTTATGACATAATGTGCAAGTATGTAGTGTATGCAAACTGAAACAGAAACATTCAAAACAATGGACCCATTCAGCCCTGCTGGTTGAAACAGTAGAAAGAGCGAGCTGAAGATCGTAATTGTGACTGATTTCTGTGACATACACATGATTTAGCAATCTTAATGTAGATAGTATGTTCCATCCATTTGGTGTCAGAGTTTTGGATGTTAAAGTTCTGCGAGTAGCCAGTTTTGAAACTTGGCAGCCGACATCTTGGAATAAGCCCAGACTCTCATTTTTAAGTCTCTTTCTAAATAAAAGTCGAGCGATCATTTCAGTGGTCACTGGGACAGAAAAACTGCTTGTACAGAAACACAAGTCATATTCAATAAAAACAATTTCACAAGTTTGGAAACTTTGCTCTAAGTTTAAAGAGCTTTTTTTCCTCTTAAGTTACACTGTTTAACATCATTAATGCTTCAGTAATGGTCCAGTGCAGAGCCAAAATGAACAGCTTCTCTACTCAACAAATGTCACGCTAATTCACAATGTGGATCCACAGTAGGGACATAACGAGCAGAGAGAGGTGCCTCCATGCAGCAGAAACTGTGTTGAAACCTCTGCTGTGTCCATGCATCTGCGCAAACACGAGGTTGTTTCCAGTTTCAGCACTCACTGAGTGCATAGAAATACTCATCAGAAATTGAATCTGTGACTGAAGTGTAAGAAGAAGAGAAACTCAACCAGACAAAACCTCCAAAGACACAATAATGTTTGCATATGTTTCTCTAAAGAGCTTTACTGTGAAGCAAGTTCATCATAGCCAGGTTTTCTGTGGATTAGCTGGCTTCACAAAACCTAAAACCCCAGGCATTGGTCAAATCAGGACATCATCAGCTCACCCATGGAAATGCATGCAATGAAGCTTGCATCACACAGTTTGAGCTGATGTTAATGCCAGAGGTGGATGTTGCTCTGCAGTTACTGATTCAGCAGATCATTGGCAATGTTTAGGCATTATTCAGTAAGGTCTTTAGAATGACTCATTCTTTTACAAATGTTGGTAAAACCAGACTGCATGGCCATGAGACTGACAGTGTTTGACTTCAAAGATTAAGATGTGTGGCCATGACCATGCAAAGCACAGTTGGCACTACTGTAACTACAGCTGGGCTCCAGTGACGGTGTTATTAAGCCATACTTTGAACCTGTGCAGCCTGAACGTGTCCGGGTTACTTCAAGAGCCTCCAGAAATAATATTTGTCTTTGAAATAATGTCAAATGTTCTTTACTGACCTCACGGGGATCATTCATTACAGAGAAGATTTAAGACTTGTAGAAATGCTCCGACTGTCTCTTTTTGTATTTATGCTCTACAGGGGATCAAGGACTCCATATTGGGGATTGGAACAATCTCCAAGCTGGATGCTCGTATCCAGCAGAAAAGGGAAGAGCAGCGGAGGAGAAGGGCCAGCGGGGCCCTGGCACAGAGACGGGCACAGAGTGAGGAGCGCAAACCGGACAAGTAAGCACCCGAACACATTTTGGTCGCATTTTGTTTTCTTCACTAGTAAATATAATAATGTGTGAATTACAATATGTTATCTAGTTGGGGCCATCATCATATCCACCCTGCAAACTGCAGCACGCTGACAGTTCTCAGGAGTTTGTTTAGAAGCAATGAAATCAAGTCATGCGAAAGTGAAACATTAGTGTTGTTCATTTTTCTTCTAGTGATCCCAAAGTAGCCAGCAGGATTTTTCAATGCTGTGCCTGGAATGGAGGAGTGTTCTGGGTAAGCTTAAACTGTTACTGCCTCAAATGTGAAACATCATTATCCACTAAAGTATCAAAGCTGAATACCAAAGTTAAACAACCACGCTATGCAGGGAAGCACAAGTTAAAGAATAACAAAGGTATTTCTCTTTCTCTTCTCAGCTCAGTCTGTTTCTCTTTTACCGGGTGTTTATTCCACTCCTGCAGGCTCTCACGGCAAAAATCATTGGTATGTATGGCTGCTGCTCAATCTGGACCAAGTTTTCCGGTGTGTTACGGGAAGCAGATAATTAACAAAGCTGTTTTTACTCCAGGTGACCCCTCCCTCCATGGCAGTGTGTGGTCCTGGTTAGAGTTCATCCTGACGTCCGTCTTCAGTGCTCTCTGGGTCCTCCCCTTGTTTGTCCTCAGCAAGATCGTCAATGCCATCTGGTTCCAGGTCAGGCCCTTCTTTAAAATCAGACTTCCACGCCATGCACACGAGATGGTAACTTTTTTTGTCCCCTTCAGGCATCGGAGACTGTTATCACTTCTGGTGTACGATTTTCTGTAGTAGCATTCCACTTTAGCTCACAGCGCAGTAGACTATACTGAATCAGTGTCAGCTGCTGAGATTTATAAAGCCAGCGCTGCCTCAAGGGCTGCTGACTCTTCCTTTGCAATAGTTCAGACTGCTCTCTCATCAGAAATAGCCCCAAAATGTAAAGAAAGACAGAGGATACAGAGAAGAAGGGGTGTTTAATAATGTTCCCTCTAAACTGCGCGTGTGCACAATTGCGCACTGCTGGCACGTCTCTGCGCACAGAAAATCTGCGTTGCACACAAAAAAAAATCTAACCTGAATTGAAATTAAAATTAAAACTTTAACAATTCTGTTTTGCAGTGTTAGTCAGTGAGTGACTGGCTGCTCCCGTATGGGATTACAACGATGCCACCTTATCCCATAATCCAGCCAATAATGCGATTCACATTCGTATATACGCAGCTAATCAACGTGGTTGACAGGCTGACAGCGTCCTTATGTGCCGACACCGGTGTTTTAGCAAAGTGGCTGATGTGGAGTGAAGCCACGTTAATGACAACGTGTACAACCATTGGAGATGTGAGCAGGACAGACGGAACAACTGACGGAAAAAGTGCACACGTCTGCTGTTGCTCACAGTGGTCCAAGTGTCCGCTCAGGGAGTTTGTGTGTTCGCTCAGACACATGAAAAATTAGAGGGAACATTGGTGTTTAATAAAGTCAGCTGTTAGATGGTATTGCAGCGCTTTATTAATAAAGAAGCTGTAGACACAGATGTTGCTTCTATTCATGGATGAGGCCATATGTGACGTTTAATTATACAGAAACAGTCTAAGGTTAAATTTTTGGTGTCCTTCCTGTACAACTATTTTTAATACAAATTTGGATATTGTGTAAAATGGAAATAAAAGCTAAATATGATTATTTGCAAATTATAAAAGCAACTATTACAAACTAAAAAATGTTGTAATAAAAAACCCCTGAAGTTATGCAATGCTGTGTGCACCTCATAACTATGTTCTTTAGCAAGAGATAAGTAAGTGTAACAGAGCATCCTGGTAAGTTAGAATGGGGTCGTGATTTTTAATAACTCAACCATACGGTTACAGAATAATGTTTCTCACAGTAAAGAAAGTCGTGATTGGTTTATGCTAGGGTCCCACAGCTTAAAAAAATAACTTTAATCAACCCAACACCAGAAGTAGCACATCCAACACACCACACTGCTGACCACCAGAGGAGACTACCAGCTCATCATCAGGTGTGATTTCCACACGTAGGAGCAGATGAGCCAGGGAAAGGAAAGAGGTCTCCAGAGCACTCACCGATTCAGCAGAACCTAGTGGCATGTGTGCATCATGTCTTTGATCTAACTGAATATGAATCAATTTGTGACTACCACACTAACAACAGAAAACCGAAAATATTGTAAAGTATTTTTTAATGGTTAAAACAGATTAATCACCCTGCTTCCACAAGAAAGGGCTAATCACACACCCTTCTTCTGGCTGATGGAACAAGCACAGTGCCACACACTGTCAGAGAAATGGCCCACTGGTGCTGCCGGCGACTCTCATCGGTCTCATACTCCTGACTCTGATGAGCACCAACTGTGCTCAATCACAGAGCTGCAGAAAGGGTGATACATGAAGAGACGGGAGAAAGCAGAAGCACTATGGGATGTAAAATAATATGGCACATAATATTATTCAAATATTCCCTCTATTAATTCAAGTCTTTGTGCACAATATACAAGGCTGAAAATCAATGTGAAATGAGCATTCTATTAAGATCTTAAAAAAGGGCATCTTTGTCAAACAAGACCGGGCTGTTTTCAGCACGATAATGCCAAAGCACAAAACCTCAGACCTGTCGATGAACTTCTGACAAACATTTGTTGTTGTGGTTATTTTGAGAGGATGATATTCGAAAATAAGAACTGGAAAACATTTCCCCAGCAGGGTCAGATGTCCATTACAGAGTTAAAAGCAGTTATACGTCCTGTTTGGCTGCAGTGACACTGATATCATTACGTTGCTCTGTGTTATAGGACATAGCTGACCTTGCATTTGAAGTGTCTGGCTGTAAAGCTCAGCCATTCCCCAGCGTCAGTAAGATCATCGCAGACATGCTTTTTAACCTCCTCCTCCAGGCGCTCTTCCTCATTCAGGTACATTTTATCCTTTCTTTAAAATAAATCTGCATAGCTGCCTGTGTTTCTCACTTTATTCCAACGAGTGTCGCTGTGTGTATTTTTGTGGTCCTCCAGGGTATGATCGTTAGTCTCTTCCCCATCGATGCTATTGGACAGATGGTTAGCCTCCTCCACATGTCTCTGCTCTACTCCCTGTACTGCTTTGAGTATCGCTGGTTCAACCATGGTGAGTCCTCTGTCAGCTTCTATACAGACACAGACTCATCTGAATTCAATGGGAACCTCTAAACCAGTGGTGTCAAACTCAAATACACAGTGGGCCAAAATTCAAAATGGAACAAAGTCGCAGGCTAACATTAATATTTATTGAAAAAAAAAATCTTCCTCCAGATGTAAGAATGAATCTTTTCTTATGTACTCAAACAAGTTTTGCTGAAAAACTGAATATGGAACAAGCAAAGCTTAATACTAAACAATATATATATTAGCTGTATAATACCAGTAGGCCAGCTCTAATAGTAATTTGGTATGGCTTCGCGGGCCAAATGTAATTAGGCTGTGGGCCAAATTTGGCCCGCGGGCCAGAGTTTGACACCTATGCTCTAAACGATGTGTTTTTTTGTGTTTGTCTAAGGCATCGAGATGCACCAGCGGCTGTCCAACATTGAGAGGAACTGGCCATATTACTTTGGCTTCGGCTTACCCATGGCTCTGCTGACTGCCATGCCCTCATCATACATCATCAGGTTAACACTGCGTGATTTTTTTTGTGATCATTATTACAAGTATTATTTTGTTTGTGGTCCATTTTCCAGTCATGTTTTTTTTATTACACTTTATATATACAGTGGGGCAAAAAAGTATTTAGTCAGCCACCGATTGTGCAAGTTCCCCCACCTAAAATGATGACAGAGGTCAGTAATTTGCACCAGAGGTACACTTCAACTGTGAGAGACAGAATGTGAAAAAAAAATCCATGAATCCACATGGTAGGATTTGTAAAGAATTTATTGGTAAATCAGGGTGGAAAATAAGTATTTGGTCAATAACAAAAATACAACTCAATACTTTGTAACATAACCTTTGTTGGCAATAACAGAGGTCAAACGTTTACTATAGGTCTTTACCAGGTTTGCACACACAGTAGCTGGTATTTTGGCCCATTCCTCCATGCAGATCTTCTCGAGAGCAGTGATGTTTTGGGGCTGTCGCCGAGCAACGCGGACTTTCAACTCCCGCCACAGATTTTCTATGGGGTTGAGGTCTGGAGACTGGCTAGGCCACTCCAGGACTTTCAAATGCTTCTTACGGAGCCCCTCCTTTGTTGCCCGGGCGGTGTGTTTTGGATCATTGTCATGTTGGAAGACCCAGCCTCGTTTCATCTTCAAAGTTCTCACTGATGGAAGGAGGTTTTGGCTCAAAATCTGACGATACATGGCCCCATTCATTCTGTCCTTAACACGGATCAGTCGTCCTGTCCCCTTGGCAGAAAAACAGCCCCATAGCATGATGTTTCCACCCCCATGCTTCACAGTAGGTATGGTGTTCTTGGGATGCAACTCAGTATTCTTCTTCCTCCAAACACGACGAGTTGAGTTTATACCAAAAAGTTCTACTTTGGTTTCATCTGACCACATGACATTCTCCCAATCCTCTGCTGTATCATCCATGTGCTCTCTGGCAAACTTCAGACGGGCCTGGACATGCACTGGCTTCAGCAGCGGAACACGTCTGGCACTGCGGGATTTGATTCCCTGCCGTTGTAGTGTGTTACTGATGGTGACCTTTGTTACTTTGGTCCCAGCTCTCTGCAGGTCATTCACCAGGTCCCCCCGTGTGGTTCTGGGATCTTTGCTCACCGTTCTCATGATCATTTTGACCCCACGGGATGAGATCTTGCGTGGAGCCCCAGATCGAGGGAGATTATCAGTGGTCTTGTATGTCTTCCATTTTCTGATGATTGCTCCCACAGTTGATTTTTTCACACCAAGCTGCTTGCCTATTGTAGATTCACTCTTCCCAGTCTGGTGCAGGTCTACAATACTTTTCCTGGTGTCCTTCGAAAGCTCTTTGGTCTTGGCCATGGCGGAGTTTGGAGTCTGACTGTTTGAGGCTGTGGACAGGTGTCTTTTATACAGATGATGAGTTCAAACAGGTGCCATTCATACAGGTAACGAGTGGGGGACAGAAAAGCTTCTTACAGAGGACGTTACAGGTCTGTGAGAGCCAGAGATTTTCCTTGTTTGAGGTGACCAAATACTTATTTTCCACCCTAATTTACGAATAAATTCTTTACAAATCCTACCATGTGGATTCATGGATTTTTTTTTCACATTCTGTCTCTCACAGTTGAAGTGTACCTCTGGTGCAAATTACTGACCTCTGTCATCATTTTAAGTGGGGGAACTTGCACAATCGGTGGCTGACTAAATACTTTTTTGCCCCACTGTATTGGAGAACAAAGTGCTCAGAAGTAGGTGCAAAGGACTTGGTCTGAGTAGAGAGTCCGTATGTGAGTGGCCTGAGTGATGGGGGTTACTAAGACCATGGCTCCGACTGGTGAAGAGGGTGGGGGGATAGTGTTTGTTAACAGTCCGAATGGCTCAGGGGAAGAAGCTGTTTGTGAGAGTGGAGGTGTGGGACCTGATTGACCTGAGGTGCCGACCAGCGAGTCAAACAGTTGTTGGGCGGGGTGCAAGGGGTCACGTGGGATGGCCCTGGTTTTCCTGAGACAGGAGGATCTGGTGATGGCCTCCAGGGGTGGCTGAGGGCAGCCAGTGATTTTTAGGGCAGTGTTAATTACCCTCAGTACAGCCGTCCTGTTCTCATTATTGTCCCCTGTGTACCAAACACCCAGGCAGTAGGAGAGCACGCTCTCCACTGAGGAGCGGTGAAGGCCAGCAGCAGCTTCTGGTCCAGGTTATTCTTCCTCAGGACAGGAGGAAGTGCAGCTGCTGTTGGGCCTTCTTTACCAGCGCGTTGGTGTTGTGGGTCCAGATCAGATCAGCGGAGATGTGGCGTGCCCAGAAAACTGAAGGTGGAGACAGATTCCGCCTGTTCTGCGTTTATAATGAGAGGTGGACCTGTCTGTGTCTCCTGAAGTTCATTATGAGTTCTTATGTTTTAAGGACGTTCAGCTTTGGGTTATTTCTTGAGCACCACCGGGACAAGTTTTCTACCTCCACCCTTTATGCTGTCTCATCTCCATCAGAGTATGGCAGTGACAAATAGCAAACATCAGAGTCCACACTGATGCCTGGCAGGTGTGTTCACACGTAACAAGGAGGAGTTACTGTACAGTTTTATAGATAATGATAGGAATGATTTCCTGAAGTGTTCTTTATGGCAACGCTGTTGAATTATTCTGAGGGAGATGGAGCTGTGCTGCCTCAGAAGTGCGCAATAGAGATGGGCTGTCCATGATGGAGAGCAGTTTGTTCAGCGACCTCCTAAACCTCACTGACTCAAACGCCTCCAGATTCTGGTCAGTGATGGTTCCAGCATCTCTGGGTCTGTTGCTGACCCTTCTCCCCAGCATATAACAGCAAAACAGATGTAACTCGCTACCACAGACTGGTAGATCTCCACCATCCTGCTGCACTCATTAAAGCTTCCTGAGCTTCATCAGGAAACAGTCTGCTCATCCCCTTCACTTTGAGAAGGAGAGGAACTCCACTATTTATAATTACAATATATTACAAAGGAGTAATTAGTTATAAATAAATATAGTGAATGGTCACAAACATGTCAGAACTTTCTAATAGAGAGGAATCTGGAATTTGGACCTTCTGCTCTGTTTTTAATGGTTTTTAAATGCTATCTTTGTTTCCTATGCAGCGGTTGCTTGTTCTCCATCCTTTTCCCTCTGTTCATCATCAGTGCTAATGAGGCAAAGACACCAACAAAGCTGTAGTGAGTGTCCAACAACACACTGTAAGAACAATAAATAAAAGGATCTATTTCACAAGTGACTGATGTCGATTTCACTCTTCCAGCCACTTCCAACTGCGTCTCTTCTCCCTGGTCGTGCTGATCAGCAACAAGCTTTTCCACAAGACTGTCCACCTGCAGTCATCACTGACGTCATCTGCCTCCACAGAGAGGCTGTCAACACCTCACACCTCCCCGACCCGCCAGAGGCTGCTGCCCACCCAGTGAAGGAGATAGGATAGTCACCAACAAGCGGTTTCACTGAAAAAAATTTTTTTTTCTTTTTCTAGAAGGATCGCCCTTAATGAAGATGAGTTCAGCTGGTTCATGTGGTTCAGGACAAAGGGTTTACATGTTTTTGTGTAATCTGTGCCGCCTCAGTTACTCATTTTTATCCACCTTTTCTGTGTGACACAAAAATCGACTGACCTGTGCCTCACACTCAAAACACTTTAAATACTAAGATCCAGACTTCTTTTTACTTTTCTTTCTTTCTTTGCATAATGTGCCATTTGAGTGACTCTCCTTTTAATAAATTACAGCACAAGACATCACAAAGTTTTAATTTCTTTAACCAAACGTGACTAAAGAAGGATATTTTTCTCTTTGAAGGGGCTTTTTTGTGTTCAGAAGCAAAGCACAGGTGTGTTTTCTTAAAAGTCACATTCCTCCCTCACAGATCCAACACTTTCTTGCACACGGACGTGTTTCTCTATTAAATTCTGCTCTCCTCACAGTCCCGTCTGCAACCTTGTACAGTTATAAAGGGAGGCTTTTTAGTTTGAAATCCCCACAGCTTTGTTTTCAGTAGAGTACAAGCATCGTTTCAGGAGCTGCTATTAAAAGGCAGAGTGACCTTTTTGTAACGGAAATCAACCAGAAATTCACTTGTGTGCATTGACATAACTGTTCCTCTGCGTCCCATCCCAAAAATAAAAAGTCTGGATTCTGCTGTCTAACGTCACAATACACACGGCTACACCGGCAAAGGGCAAGCTTCATTAGAGCTTTTAGTGTATTGATAGATGAGACGACACTGCCAAACCGCTGCATCTTTAACTTTACTTTGACCTCTTCAACGCTAAGCTCTGTCACAAAGGAGTCATGTAGCTCGTAGCTTTACAACAGACGGGTGATCAGCCTCGACTCGCTTGCTGTAGTGCCCCTTGCACCTTAAAGAGAGCTTGATGCAAATATAACTGATCCCCAAATATCATTGGCTGTTTGGTTATTTGTGCTGTACATAATGTTAATACCTCCTGAATGTTCAGTCAGAAGCCCAGCGCCACACAGTGACCCCACCCCAACCTTTGTCTCATCAGAGCTCGTGGATGTGGAGCGGGGCCATGATTTTAAACAGTGTGCAATTATTGTAAGAAGAGCATAGTGTTTGTGCAGACTGATATTTGTGAGTGAGGTTTTGTAAAAGTAATACTTCTAATTTGAATAAAATTGGTCAGTATTCAATATTTGAGCTCTTGTGTTTCTGTGTTTTTTGTTTCTCTGCGACATTTCAAACTCAGCATTGCAAAGATAAGGATAGATAAAGGATTTATATCACTGAAAATCAGATTAGGTCCTTGGGTTACACTCCAAATTGTTCATGGTTGATAAAAAAAAAATGTTTCAGGCATCTAACAGAAAGGTATCAGAGATGTTTTGAAAACTGGCTTAACACAGATGCAGATGGACTTTTGTACTTGATTGAGCTAAAAAAGACCTGTGATTAACTGATCACCAAAAGATACAGTGGGAGGATTAATTATTTTTGGGCAGTTTTATTTTAATAGAGAGAGAAAGAAAAACTTTACTCAAAAGTAACACGTTGATTTGTAAGAGGAAACAACGTGAAAAATAATGAGAATGAATCTACACCAACGAAATGAGGTGAAAGTATTTTCAACCAACAGGGGGCTGTGTTCTTTTCTCGGTAAGGACACGTCACTACACTACAGCGGCGGGGTAAGGAACAAAATCTGATTGACATCCAAAGAACCAATAAGATACGAGAAAATAAAACGTTGAATGACACATAACCAATAAGCACGCAGTATGTTCTAGTCGGGGCGGGATTAGCGCTTGGTGAGGGTTGTGTGTGAAAAGTGAGTAGCAGGAGCGGAGCGGGTAAGTGTCTGAAGATTACATATTAAAAAGCGTTAGCTTTTCCAGGACTACCAGTTTTTATTTTCTGTTGCTATATATGAAGGAGATGCAGATACTTCTTTTTAAAAAATAAGCCAGGGAGTTGGCGCGTGACTGTGGTTTTCATTAAAAAGAGGCTAGCAGGTTAGCCTAGCAACTAACACACTTTGAAGTGGATGCAAGCCGGCCTGACGCTAACTAGCAATAAGACGCTGCACAAACTACAACTATGCCTGAATGCACTTTATATGTGCAGTTGTTGAGATCTGGTTTAGCCGTATTAGCTGCCGTTCATTTGCTCTTTCGGTGATGTGGGTTAGCTGTCAGCACTTGAGGCTCGTTCTGATAGTGGTGCTGTCTTGAAAGCATGAGGGCTCGTTGGAGCTTAGTGGTTCGACACTTTTCGTAAAACCTTTTTAATGCACATGTGAAATAGACGGGCACAAATCCATGCAAACGGTTTCCAGAGTGTCTACTTCCTGCTTTGTGACGCCACACGTTAGTGCGTGGCCTTATGTGGTTGGGCTGGACGTGGAAGTTAACTCCTGACATCTGGATTGCTGATTCTGTTTCTTAGAACCTGACTTGGAAACATATTCCGCGGGATTTTTATACATGCATAAACATATGTCTAAAAGTGCATTTGTAGTGCCTTTTCTATTGTGCTTAGAACCATTGTCTTTCTCCCATTAGGTAGTACGGGTAGCTTTCCCTAACCTCGCCAAGATGACCAAGCTGGGCTTCCTGCGTTTGTCCTATGAGAAACAGGACACGCTGCTGAAGCTACTTATCCTGTCTATGGCCGCTGTCCTCTGTGAGTCCTCTGCTCGCTGAATATGATAGCATGGACAACACTATACAACACACACATCACAATGATCCATGTAATCTTTCTTTTCCCTCCTCAGCATTCTCCACCAGGCTCTTCTCCGTGTTGAGGTTTGAAAGTGTCATCCATGAGTTTGACCCGTAAGTACTGTCTGCATCATCATTCATTACATTAATAGTTTTTCCTCCTGAAGAGTCCTGTCTCACCTTCACCTTAATGTCACAACCAGGTACTTCAACTACCGTACCACCCGCTTCTTGGCAGAAGAAGGATTTTATAAGTTTCACAACTGGTTTGATGACAGGGCTTGGTATCCTCTGGGGAGGATCATTGGTGGCACCATTTATCCGGGTAAGACCATAAATTGTCGTAAGATTCTCCTGTCGTGTGGAGCAGTTTGTGTGTTACGTGAGTTTTTGAAGGCTCACGTCAAATTATGATGGTGTGCTTCTGTTTTCTTTCTCCAGGACTGATGATCACGTCTGCTGTCCTGTACCATGTCCTACATTTTTTCCACATCACAATTGACATCCGTAATGTCTGCGTCTTCCTGGCTCCCCTGTTCTCCTCATTCACCGCCATAGTCACGTACCACTTAACCAAGGAGCTGAAGGTAAAAAGAAAATCACCCTATAACACAGACACATTGTTCATTAAGAATCATGTTACAGGAAAACAGAGGCGGTGGTTTACGACACCAACTGTCTGCCATCTATAATCCAGTTTTGAGATCCTTCCCAGACGCCTTAACACCTACTCACATCCTGGGCCATCTGACCTCAGGAAATCGCATGATAGGGTGGGGCCAGGTTTCCCAATGAGCTCACCCAAAACCTTGGCTGATTGTGACCCACACCCATTTTCACACCTTGGCTCATGTGATTAGGTAGAGGACCATTAGGGGGTCCATTCTCCCTCTCAGACTTAAGCTCCCACAGAGCTTAAATGAAAGTGTGTGAAAGTGGCTTAAGACTGTTAGAACAAAACTGAACATGGTAAAGACTCTTTATTGCAGGACTGTGGTGTTAACCTACACTAGTTTTAACTAAGTGTGTTTTTGTCTCTTCAGGATGCAGGTGCTGGGCTCCTGGCAGCTGCCATGATTGCAGTGGTACCTGGTTACATCTCTCGTTCTGTTGCTGGCTCCTACGATAATGAAGGTAACAGAAACTCAGTGGCTGCTCATTTTATTCATCAGTCAGAAAGTGCTTTTTCCCTGGTAAACTATGTTATATATTCAGTCAATAATGAAAGTAAAGCTGTAGCATTAGAGGATATACACCGAAAGTGCAAAACAGTATAATAAGAAAATGATCCTCCCTGCTCAGGTATTGCCATCTTCTGCATGCTGTTGACCTACTACATGTGGATCAAGGCTGTGAAAACAGGCTCAGTGTATTGGTCGTCCATGTGTGCGCTGGCTTACTTCTACATGGTGAGGAGATGCAGCTGATCTGCATGTTGTACTGAGTGCATTACGAGGTGACTTTGGTCATGAAATGGTCTCTGTGTGCATTTAGGTTTCCTCCTGGGGTGGCTACGTGTTCCTCATCAACCTTATTCCCCTCCACGTCCTGGTTCTGATGCTCACAGGCCGATTCTCACACCGCATATATGTGGCTTACTGCACAGTCTACTGCCTGGGCACCATCCTCTCCATGCAAATCTCTTTTGTTGGTTTCCAGGTAAAAAGAACAATCTCATTTCATCACCTGACACACCCTCCTTCCAGGACGGTTTTTTGTTAAAGATTAAAAAGTAGTGATATTCTCATGATGAGAAGTTTCACTTTGCTTTGTATCACACTGTTCAGTTCCTTGTCTCCCTTTTTTCATTTACCAGCCGGTGCAGTCATCGGAGCACATGGCAGCCTTTGGCGTGTTTGGTCTGTGCCAGATCCATGCTTTTGTGGACTACCTGCGCAGCAAACTCAATGCTCAGCAATTTGAGGTGCTGTTCAAGAGCGTCATCTCTCTGGTGGGCTTTATCCTGTTGTCTGTAGGTGCTGTTCTCATGCTGACAGGTAAGAGGATTAACAATAACAGTAATGAATGGGAAAACCTTTCTAAAAGCTTTTGACGTGACATGATAAGCACGTTTCTGTCAGGTAAAATCTCTCCGTGGACCGGGCGTTTCTACTCCTTGCTGGACCCTTCCTATGCCAAGAACAATATTCCCATCATCGCCTCTGTGTCCGAGCACCAGCCTACCACCTGGTCCTCATACTACTTTGATCTGCAGCTCCTAGTCTTCATGTTCCCAGGCAAGGCAGCAAAAGCACAGCGTAGCACTGGCTTAATATTCTGTAATCACTCTATATTTCATTCCAGTTTACCTTTCTCTTCTTACAGTCGGTCTGTACTACTGTTTTAACAACCTGTCGGATGCCAGGATCTTCATCATCATGTACGGCGTCACCAGCATGTACTTCTCAGCTGTCATGGTACTGCTGCCTAAATGCCCTTCTTTTATTTTCTGTAAACGTGTGTGTGTGTGTTACACATGCCATCTGAGACAGTTGTTTGCTTCTGGGATTTTAAAAGCAACCTGATAGCATCACTTTTACACCATTAAATGTAACCGAAGCAAACAAGAAATGGTGTCTAGGATGTTGTATGCGCCCCGTCTGTGTCATATGTTGGTTGTTTTTGGTTTTTTTTTAACTGCACTGCTTGTTTCCTCCTCAGGTGCGTCTGATGCTGGTACTCGCTCCGGTCATGTGCATCCTGTCAGGCATCGGCGTGTCCCAGGTTCTAACCACTTACATGAAGAATTTGGACGTCAGCCGGCCAGACAAAAAGAGCAAGAAGCAGCAGGATTCCACCTACCCAATCAAAAATGAGGTGAGTTGGCTGACAGGATAAGCTTGCTGAGCCAAGACTGGAAATGTACAACGCTGACACTGCTGTAGGCACTGTTTGCTGTGTAAGGTGGTGACAGTGACTTTTGTTATGCCATGGTCGTGTTGTGACATGAAATCTGTGCATTCGGACAGGTTGAACCTGTACAAAAAAAAAAGAACTACTGATTATTTTAAATAATCCATCATTGTCAAGCTCTCAGCTCAGTGTTTTATAGTCTTGATTTTCATGTTTAAAATCTTGTCCAAGAGAACACAAACCTTTTCTTCTCTTCTTGTATTTGATATTTCATGCAACTTGAAACAGATACTACACTTAAAGGTGAATTGTTGTATAATTACTGTTAGGTTTACAAACAATTGTGGGATAGGTACACTGCATTGTTGAAGGTTCACAACCTTGACCAAATGTGTTTAGTTGAGATTCTTCCTCATGATTTAGATGATTTTTCAGTGTAGCGATGGGTGCAAAGCTACACCAGTCTGACCTGCACCTGCCAAGAAATATAACTATGCATTTACACAGATCTCAACAGCTATGATAGATCTGCTTGATGGTAATATGCAGTGTGACCTCAGTGTGTTGACAGCACAAAGATGAGACCTCTATAAAACAAAATGGAATTTGCTGCAATTGCATCTAGTTTGTGCTAATGTTAGTATCCTGGCAGTCTTGATGTGCTGTTGACAAAATGTATAGACTCAGTGTTTCCTCCTTCGTGCGTCTCAGTGTCAGTAAATGTTGTTCAAAATTTGTTTGCTCCAAGTCAACATAAGCACTCCATTTTACTTGTGCCTGCAGAGCAATGCAGACACTCCCACAAAAATTATAAGTGCAACAACAACGTTACTCACTAGAGGGAATTAAACACACAAATGAGACTTTAGAAGGTTCTCTCTACACTTTCTCACTTGAGTATTTGGCTGTTTTCACCTTTGAGACAAAACTCAAAGATCAGAGAAATCTCCTCCCATTCTTTATTTCACACTCCCTCAATTTATTCCATTACCCGTTAAGTGGCCCAGTTCCTGGTTTTAAACTACCTGATCCCAAATAAAGTGTAGTAATAATGAATATAAAAGCATGTTGACATGGTCTGTGTAAACCTACCAGGTTGCCAGTGGGATGATTCTGGTAATGGCTTTCTTCCTCATCACGTACACGTTCCACTCTACCTGGGTGACCAGCGAAGCCTACTCCTCTCCATCGATTGTCCTGTCAGCCCGTGGAGGTGACGGCAGCCGCATCATCTTTGATGACTTCAGAGAGGCCTACTACTGGCTCCGCCACAACACACCTGAGGTCAGTTAATCCCACGTGAGGAAGAAAAGGTTGATCATTAAACTATAGATCGTTGTCATGAGTGATCAGCAGTCACAGCCGTTTGATCAGATTTCCCATCTACATGTCTGAGTGTTATTTTTCCTATCCAGGATGCCAAAGTCATGTCATGGTGGGATTACGGATATCAGATAACTGCCATGGCTAATCGAACCATTCTAGTGGACAACAACACATGGAACAATACTCACATCTCCAGAGTTGGACAGGTGAGCTGGGTGACCTTTAAGGTGAAATTGTCTATGAAATGCTGCTGTGCTGACCATGCTGCCGTTTCTTTTGCAGGCCATGGCATCGACAGAGGAAAGGGCCTACGAGATTATGAGAGAGCTCGACGTCAGTTATGTTCTGGTCATCTTTGGAGGGCTGACGGGCTACTCTTCAGATGGTACGCCGCCTAATACTTTATAACTAGTGCAGCATGTAAGGTGTTGTGTTTTTAAGCTTCTAAATAAGTGAAATTGAATTTTAGGAGTTCCATTTTTTGTCAACTCATTAAACATTCAGCACATGAAGTAAGACATTGCTGTTTGGACGGTTATGAGCACCTTTCTAATTGGTGTATGTGTTTGCATGACAGACATCAACAAGTTTCTGTGGATGGTCCGTATTGGAGGAAGTACAGACACCGGCAAGCATATCAAGGAGCACGACTACTACACTCCCACCGGAGAGTTCAGGGTGGACCGCGAGGGCTCGCCAGTCCTGCTTAACTGCCTCATGTACAAGATGTGTTACTACCGCTTTGGCCAGGTCTACACAGAGGCCAGTGAGTGCTTCTAGTACCTTCTACCCCTAGTCTGATCTATTTATCACTTTATATGAGCCTCCTAAATTCCAACTGGAGGAATGTGATTCAGAAATTAAAAAAACAAAACAAATACACAGCCAGTGGTTTTTCTGATTAATTCTGGTTCCCTCTTTTGCAGAGCGCCCACCTGGTTATGACAGAGTGAGGAATGCCGAGATTGGGAACAAAGACTTTGAACTGGATGTACTGGAGGAGGCTTACACAACAGAGCACTGGCTGGTTAGGATATACAAGGTAAACAAGCTAACTTTGTCTCTATAACAGTTGTTATAGTTCTGTATTTTCATGTTGAGTGTTTGGTTCCAGATTGTTTCCATTGTAGGTTTACTCATTTCAGTTTTTATCACTTTGTTTTTCTGATTATTAGAATATGAGGGGAATTATTGCTTAAAACTGAATCAAGCTTCTCACATGCTTATCTTACATTATAGTAAACATTGTTTTTAATTTAATGAAATGTTATATGACTAAACTATAAAAGCTTAAGTTTACTGATTAATGCAAATTCTTGTGATTTTACCTTTTAAATCACTCAAAGATTAGTTTGTTTGAGGACGGGCTTTTTTTGTTTTTTGTCTTTTTAATAAAGTGACCTTTCCACAGTTTAAAGTTAAACTGTGTAAACATCTAAAATCAGTTTCAGAACAGAACTTTCTAAGCTAAGTGTTCTCCTGTTCTTTAGGTGAAAGATCTGGACAATCGGGGTCTTTCAAGGACATAAGGCGCACAGACAGCAGTGAAAACGGCCTTTAAGCGCACTGAACGCCTTCCTCTGTGGTCAGCAGTCGAGCGGGAAAAGAGTACCTTTTTTATATGCCTTTTGTTTGGGGGAAGAAAATGGCATCACACATGTCTCCTTTTTCTTTATAGATGATTTTCATTTTTTAAATTTTGTTTATAATGAAACATCTCATCTGGGATCAGAGGGAGATGATGTCAAAACGTCCAGTTTGATCTAGGAAGTGTATTTTGCCAAGAGGTGGTCATTTGTGAGCGGTTGAATTTTTACAATGTGGTCAATTAAAGTGGGATTAAATCGGAATACAACTGAGTGTCTTTTTTTTTTTTTTCCTTCCCCGTCACTGAAATGAAATGCAGTGTAGGCTGTAGTCAGCTGTTGATATTCAGTTGGATCAGTTTTGTTGGCTGCCCGATCCTCTTGTTTCTCATGCTTTGAACAGTAGGCTAGGAGCAAAAATGTTTGTAGAGTTTACTGCTGACCAACCACGCTTGAGCAGGTAATGGTTCATATGGAAAGCAAGAAAATGATTGGATTTACTTTCGTTTTAGTCTCCCCACTCATTTTCTGCCAGGGAACAAATTATCCATGAGCTACTCTGGAAGCTCTGAAATGTGATGGTCCGACATCAGTGAACAACAGCCAATTAGCTGCCAGAATGTAGGGTTACTTATCATAATTTTAACTCTTGCTCACTTTATAGATGGAAGACAGTTTCAATTCATTACATAGGTTCTATAAAAAGATGCACTCAAGACTTCATTTTTTAAAGACAACTTGAGAAAAGTGTTTAATTGTCGTAAAGTGTTAACTTTAGAAAAGTTAGTATTCAAGGAAACAAAGCAGGACAGCATGAACATAAATACAGTAAAATATTTCATATTAGGACAATTCAATATTAAAATCTTTAAAGTGTCAATTAGGTTGAGTACCAAGCATTGCTGAATACACCCCCCTTAGAAATAGTACAAATATAGGTTTCTTTAGAGGCTGGACTTGTCCGGGAGATCCGCGACGAGTGCAGTGTTCTTTCTGTAGATGTAGGCGTTAGGATTATCATCCAGCTTCACCAGCTCAGCCAGCGATGACACGCAGGGATCGTGATCGACGAGCATCTTGGGCAGCTGGCTGGATTTGTTGTGGATGCGGGAGGAGCGGCGCACAGGTGTCAGAAACTTGAGATCATTAATGTTGCTCTTTCTCCTGGATGCACTCGTGCCGACCTCGCCTTCAATTGTTTTTCTGACACTGAAATGTTGAGAGAATCATTTTGTAAGAGTTAAGAACGAAGTGGCTCAAATACTCAACTGAATAGATTTGCTAAGACAAAGTTGACCGGCTCACCTTTGCAAGTATGGCGTTGTTTTCACGCTGTATTTGATCACTGATGCATCCTCCATCTCTGGAGTCGTCTCTATCACGTCGTCATCATCACTTTCTACATAATCCATCTCCACTTTCTGATCATTGCTTTCTTCTGCTTCATCCTTCACCTGCTTACCAGCATCCTCAGGCATGTCAATCTTCAGTTCCTCCGCTTTACATTCATTTATGCTGTCCTCCATTTCACTGTTGCATTTATCTGTCGAACCTGTGAGTTCTTATCAGCACAAATGACAAATATGTAAACAAAGGCATCAGATATTTAAAGAACTGCATAATGCTGATTATTTTACCATTGCTACATCTCGATGGTGTTTCCATGGCCTCCAAGGCATCACAGAGATTCACAACAATCTATAAAACAAAGGGAGATCTTTGATGTTCAATATTATACATTTTAATCGAGCTAATTAGAGGATGAAACCATGCTCCATTTCTGCTTACATCATCCACTCTGTCTTGTGACTCAGCAGACAGATCCCCATCAGAAGTTTCTAGGTCTAGTGTAGTGTTCATGATCACTGGAGTTTGGCTGGATGCTGTTGGTCCTGCCCTCTGAGTATCTCCACAGGAAACAGTGCCTACAGCAGTGTCAGCGTTGTACATTTCCAGTCTTGGCTCAGGCATGTGGCGTGCAGCAGGCTGAGATTGAAGTTTGACGACAGGTTTTGTAGAAACGTTGGTTTTGGAGGGCTTTGCTGTCGACATGGCTGGTCTCTTGAGAGCCTTACCCTTTGAAGCCAGCCACTCAGCCAGTTTTGCTCTGTAGAAAGCACATAAATAAATTACCTTTTTTTTTTTTTTTTTTTTAATTGTAATATAGCAAACATCGCATGTATGTGTGGAACATCTTACTTTCTCTCTTCTGCAGTCTCCATAGTAAATCTGTATTGACTGATAGTGTTTGAGGCAAGAGGCTTGCTGACCTTCTTGTCAGGTTCTGAAATCTGTGTCTTTGGGTTGTGAGTCCCACCTGCCTTGGTGGGAGCCACAGTAGTGTTTCTAGAGCCAGCAGTGGTTAGTGTTGCTGGGACGATTCTTGCAGGCGGGCGAGCAGAGGAGAATCCAGCAGGACGACGACTGCTGGCAGCAGGCTTGGAAACCTGAGCAGGTCCATCAGACACAGACTTGGACCTCACTGGTGCAGGTTTTTGAGTACCATGTCTCTGCATCTCAGCAGCAGATTTGGACCTTCTTCTTGCCATTTTTCCAGGCCTTTGGTTCTCCATTTTCAGTGCTGATGGGTTAGGATCCATCATACCTGCACTTGCCTTCCAAATAGACCCAATTTTTGACTGGACAATCTTTCCTTTATACATTCCTAGAGCATTCCTTGATAACGACACAGCAGCTGGTGCCAGTTTCTGGGCCTCAGGCACTGACCTAGTGTCAGTTTGTTTAGCCTTAGCTCTAAGGGGCTGACTCTTTGGTAGGGTCTGCTGTTTTGGGCCATTTTTCAGTTGGAATGGCACAACAGATGTTTTCTCTCCTTTTATAATTAACTTTCTTTCATGTGCAGGCTGGGCATTTTCCTTGTTTTCCTGTTACAAAAACAACAACAACATTACATCATGATATCTTCTAAATTCAAGATGGGCTTTCAAAAAAATGTCATGTTATGTCAGCTTACTTTCTTACTGATGTGGTTCCGTCTTGAAACTGCAACTTCCATTGTGTAGCCCCTCAAAACTGCTTAAATTAGTCAGGAATGCTGGAATGTGAGCAAAGCAAGGAATACACTGCGTGATTAGTTATTAACATCATCTTGCACGCGAAGTGCTCGAAACTCAATAATTTAGTAAAACCGACGAACTTAAACTTCACTTTACGTGTTGAATACCCATATGCAGTACTCTGTCGTAAATTAACGTTAGCTAGCTAATATAACCTTAAAGAATACAAGTTGGACATAATGAAAATTTGCCGTTAGTCTCCGATAGTGGGCTAAAGTAATGCTTATATATGAAACACTGACTTACCCCTTCGTTATAATCTTCCAAGAAACCCCTCCACCTCAGCCCCACAGCTCAATCTGAGGGAAAAACACGTCTCGTTTTGCTTCTTCAGGATTTGACTTGGCGCTGCAGCGCTCCAATTGGCCACCTCTGTATCGCGAGAAACCAAAACCAACCAATAAAATATCTCCAAACTAAGCGCGAGAACAACAGATAACGTTATTCTTCCAGCCCTTAGGTTTTTATCCCCCCTTCTGTTTAAATGTTTGAACCCAAATAAAATTCCTGTAATACCGGTCCGTGCTGACCGATACACACCCAATGTTGCCCTTAAAAAAAGAAGTCGAGACAGTTAAACACCAGCTGTCAGGAAATAGAGTTGGAACAAACGAATACACGAGAGTGTGACTTATGAAAGCCTCTACTGTATTAAGCGGTGCTTTTATGTCAGTCTTCACAAGCCTTTAACTTTGTTTTCTGCACAAGTACATAAAAGCTAATTATCTTTTTAAAATAAGCATAACAGTCAATGACTGTGTGTGATATATTAATATTACGGATCCCACGCCTCAGCACAAACACAAGATACATTTGGGATTATGCCTCGGCATGTTTTCAGAGTTTGAAAAGACCGCTGAGGATTATGGGACAGAAAAGAAACGCGCGCTCATTTGATGCACGTTATTTTCCAAGTCAAGCTACTCAATAACAGCCTTCAGAATAAAGTCGTATGAGCACATAATGGCATATATTGCATACCGAGGCGGCAATTTATAATTTTATCCATGCATTTGTTATTTGTTTGCTTATATGTGTCGCGTTCTAGGCATTTTCATTAGGTCTATTTAAATTCATAAACCTTTTTTGTGCGTAAGCTAGAAATATAGAGTAGTTTTTAAAAAAGCCTTGAAAACTGTAAAGAAGTACAGTAGTTTTTGAGTTGATAAGGAACAAAAATCTTTTTCTTAAAAATACTAAAAGTATTTTATAAAATTATATAAAATTATTACCCAGTTAGCCCAAAGTATTTTATTTTGAAAGCACAACTCGGAAGCTCTTTTAAGCTTCCGCTATTGACGTTAGCAGTTCTTTTGCTACCCTCTGAAAATAAAACGATTTTTATAAAAAGGGTTTCTTTCGTAAAATATATAGAATGCAAAATCACTGCGCTGTGCCGAACTGTCCCAGTGGCAAATCTGACCCTCAGCCCCTCTTCCGGTTCCCGAATGATGCAGAAAGGTAACTGATGTTAGCATCGCAAACAGTAACCCCAAGCTAGCAAGAAGTGAGACTGTTATAGAGGAAACTATGGCACGCTTTTTGCAACCTTTGCATTTAACTGTTTAGTACCGTTTTTATTCAAAAGCATTTGGTAGTAAAAATGTTCGTAGGTTTGCTTTTTTGCATATTGCTAAGCACATCTGGAAGATCACGGTTTGTCATAACAGTTTGGTAAAAGCAGTGTTACAAGATTTAAGCAGGGTAGGAAATAAAGTTTTAAAAATGTAAAGATCAACGAGTCAATGGCAGTTAGGTGTTCAAACTCACCGGCCAATCCTTGTAAAACTTTAATTAGTGTCTGAATTCTACCAGCAGCTTCTATAGTTTGTGAGACATATAGTCTCACAAAGAAGTATCATGTGCAGTATCCTGTGTAGAGCATGTTGGTTCACTTAGTATACAATAAAGAACTAATTGCCGATCTCCTGCATCGTTCCTCGAGAATACACAAAGCTATAACGTTGAATTTGTTACTGGAAGCTTTTGAAAATTGCCTTGTGTGATCTATATGCACTGAAGCTTCTGTGTGCATTCATAGCTTTCATATTCAAAACATTGTAAAAGCATCTCTTGTAAGACAGTCACTATACTTCTAACCCAACCTAGCAATTGTTTCCAAATTCAATAAAAATCTGTTTTTCAACATTGTATATTCAGTCAGTCTCTGTATCATTTTAATATCTGCAAATGTGCAATAAAGGATCTTGTTTAATTAGTATACAGTACTGTTGAAGTTTGTCCACAGTTTGGTTCCTTGTTTCAGGTCCAAGAAGTGGGCTGAAAAATGCCAGAGGCAAGACCTGATTGACAGATCACCAGAGCAGCTGTACAGATACTACAGAGTTTGTGGGAAACATTTTGAAACGTCTTTGATTGACAGTGTAAGTACTATTGGTCCAAATTGTCCGTATTACAAGAAACAATGGAGTTTTCAGTCCTTATATAAAATCTGAAAAAATAAATTGGGGTTTCAGTTTATTTTTGTTGTAGTTCAGGTTTTACCTCATTAAAGAGGTCATCGTATGTGTTTTGGTTACAGGATGCTCAGAGTACAGTGCTGAAGGATGATTCCATACCAACTGCTTTTGATATGTCAAGCCAACCTCAGAATGGACAGGCGAAGCGCACTAAACCGACGGTGGGTTAAATTAATCAGAAGTGTTCAGGGATTCCCATCAGGGATGCGAATCCCTGATAAAGTCAGACATTTTTAATTATTGATGATCTATTCTGGTTTTGCAGTATACTCAGGCTTTAATGCACCAAAGTTAAAAGAATAAATATACATGAAAATATATTTGATATAGAGCATACCAAAAACTAAACGAGCAAACCATCTTGGTGGATGGGAGGATAAATAGAGGAATATTTGTGACAGAAATGCCTACCAAAAGCAAAATGAGATAAATGCAGTTACATGGGGCACGTGACATTTAGTGTGTGTCAGCACAAAAAGAGAGGAAGAGGAAAAGCAGTCCTTCTGTGCTCTCACAAAGTGAGAGAGGCATTTTGTGTTTGCATATAAGGGGTGAAGATAATAGTAGCCGTTGCATGTTATACAAACCAAAAAGAATGAATAACTACTGTATTTTTAACACAACGTGGTTCAAAAGATAGTCAACAGTTCTTGTATGGAGCAATAAGAGTGAGCAATACAGCTCCAAAATTATATCACGATATTTCCATCCTTCTTTTCCACTGAACTACTGTCAGTTATGACAGACTGCCTAATTTGTAATGTGAGTCTACTGACACACGGCCCCAACAGCACCGTTATAGTGCAATAATAAAGACACAGGAGTATATCCAGTGACAAATGTAAGCGTAGGCAGTATTTTGCTGCACATTTTAAGTAGAAAATAACTGCGTGACACTTAAACAGTAACTAAAGTAAACGTCTAACTCTTCAGGAGCCTGAACAATATTGTAACACAATAAAACTGGAAAATATTGGGATTAGGATGCTGTATCTTGGGCTGAGCTTTTTAACCAGCTGCTTAAAGCCCTGCATGTCCACCATTTAACTGCAACAGTAGTTTCCATGAGCCTTTTGGTCTTCCTGTCCTATGGAGTGTAACTCTCTTGTGCTCCAGCAGTGCTCGGTGGAGTCATTTGTATATGATGGTGTGTTTTTAAGTAATGTGCTTTGTTTGTAGTGAATGATCAACAGAGGCTGACACGCAGCTCTCAGACATGTCTGCGCTTGTCTCATGGTTGCACAGTATGAAATGTAAACACATGGCTGTGTTATAGCAATGAAGTCGAAAAATGACTTTTTTTATATCACAAAAAATGTATACCAGCATTACACAAATGAAGACTTTATTCATGTTTAACATTATGTCTTTAACCCCTGGAGGGCCTTGGGTCGATTTGTGGCTCTAAGACCAATAGTGTATGCATTTTTCTAAGACTCTCCAGGGGTTAAAATTGAGGAAAGATTTTAATATTCATTACAAAGACAGCTGAGAAAGGACACATACCTTTATTCATAATTAAACATCTGGATCTTGTAGTAATAGAATAGAATAGAATTCAACTTTATTGTCATTGCACATGTCACAGGTACAGGGCAACGAAATGCAGTTTGCATCCATCCAGAAGTGCTTTAGCCATGATATAGACATATTACAATATATATTAGCAATAATATAGATATGTAAGTATATTACAGAAATGGGTCTATTATGGTATGTTATAATGTACACGGTATGAAGTATGTTGTGAATATTCTATAACTATAAGTATGTACAGGCTGTAGTGAGTACAAGCTATGAACAGGATATAAATATGAAATAAAAAACTATACAGAAACATGATATCTCATGTTTCTGTATAGTTTTTTATTTCATATTAAAAAAAAAAAAAGCATCTCATTACAGCATACATCTGTAATGAATTCCGAAAATACAAGAATTTGGTGCAGAACTTTGAATTTCTTTTGAATTTTCTTTAATTCACACAGGTTTGAAATTGGACATATTTGATTAAATAGCAAGTTTCACCTTGACCACATGCCTTTGGTAGTCATTAACAAGCATCTAGGATAGTTCTGGTAGAATATTTGATCACTCTTGGCAGAACTGGTTGGCTTCCTGGCATGGAGCTGTTTTTTACTACTATAGTCCACAAATATTCAGGAGGGTTCAGTTCTGGGCTTTGGGCCTTGCTTTTATCCACGAAGGAAGACATTCTCATGTGTGTCAGGAATCACTGTGCTGTTGATCGTACTCTGTTTAGCCACACCACAGTGCAATATCATCAACACATCAACATGCACACCCTCTTTCCTTTAGTTCACTGGGTTTCTACTGTGAATAGCTTACTCTACTAAAGCTGGGAGACTTCTGTAATATAATTGTGCTGCAAGTGTTTTGTTTCCTTCTTTTTGTTTGGTGTTATCTTCACTAAAGCTAAAAACGTGTCTGAATAACAGGCACTGCTTTTTATTTAGCACAAGCTCCTCAAGCTGGGCAGTCAGTTAAGTACTCTGTTATTCATCTTAGGAAAAGGACACTTTAAAAGAATTATTAAAGGCCTAAAATTACCATAACAATCATGCATGTTTGTAAACTTCTGACCACATGTGTATATTATGATTGTATCTCAGTGGCATTTTAAGTGGTATATATTAACTCTTTTTTTATATCTTTTTTGGTAGACCAAAGACAATGAAATGGAAAGCAAGGGAAGGAAGAGTAAGTAGAAACATCAACACACACACAGATATTTATTAATGAAAAATGGCACTATAAACATCCCACAGGCTCATTTGTTACAGAGGAGTTGTTGAGTTTTCCTTCAAGCGTTTCCTTTTCTTTTTCAGAAATGAAAAAGTCTCAAGCAGCA